AAGGCAGTGTCACAGGTTTGTTTCATTTTATTTATTTTTTTTTTCCAATTCCCTCATCTCTCCTGAGGAGTGTTCCTGGATGTCAGAACCCCTCAGCATTTCTGATCCACTCAGGGAGAACAAAGCAGGTCCTGCCAGGCAGGAGGATTGTCTGGGGCTTAGTGCAGAGTGAGAGGAGCTGGTCTGTCCCTCTCTTGTTCCCAACTGCCTTTGCTTTGCTTCTTCCTGAGATGGACATTGATGACACTCCCATTTTGGTCTGAAAAGCCACCAGACACTGTTGAGAGCAGAGGAATCCATCCCACACCCCTCAATGTCCCAGCCTGTCTGAAGGGCTCAGCACCCACTTGGAGCCAAGGACACCCGTGGCTCATCTCCCCAACCCAACAGCATCTCCTGGCATGGGCACAGCATCTCTGCCCCTCTCCACTGGGGCTTTCAGAGAACACAGCTGTGCTGGGAGGATGATTTGCATTCTCGAGGGCAGCTCCCACCTTAGAAGGACACCTCAGAAAAGAGCCAAGTGTCCTAATGACAGGGTCTGATTGAGGGAAAAAGAGCTCCTTAACCAGGCCCACAGACTTCACTGCCCACACCCCACAGGCCAGAGGACAATGGGAATGTCTCATTCCCAGGGACACACCTGCCATAGGGGAATCCCAGGATCAGTGTTGGACTCTGTAGTTTGAACTCCCCTCCATAAAGAGCCTGACTGAGAGAAGGAGGGAACAACCTCAGGACCAGGGGCAAGCTGAGAACCAAGGAAATGCACAGGGAGGGTCCAGCTGGGAGAGGCCAGGGCAGAGCCCACTGGGCACTCAGGGCAGCGTCACCCTGAGCCAACTGTGCCACCTCCCAGACACCAACAGTGCCAGCAAGTTGTTCTCAGCCCTGGGCAGCTCCTCAGAGTTCCCTCTGGAACTCAAACCACCAGGCATGTGGTTTGAGAGCTTGAGAGAAATCCCTCCTTGGACCTTCCCCTCGAAGTATCCCCTGGAAAATATCCTGGGGTGCTCTGGTTCTGTGAGCAGCCCTGACCCATGAAACTCTCACTCAATAGCAGAAGAAACCTGCCCTGCCCTGGCAGGCTTTGCTCTTTCCACCCCCAGCCTCTGCCCAGCCCTGAGGGAGCTCCCCAGCCCGGCTGAGAGCTGCCCCTGGCAGTGACAGAGCTCCTGCCCCGGCACAGCCCTGGGCTGCAGGACCCTGCTCTGCAGGACAGTTTGGGGCAGCCTGGGTGGCACAGCCCGGCTTCACAACCCTGCAGCCATCCCTGGGAGAAGGGAACCCTGCTGGGATGTGCCTGGGATGGTGCAGCAGGGAGTGGGATGTGCCAGCGTTAGGAGATCTTTGCACCAACTGCAGACACATTGCCCTTCATGCTGACTCACCGTGAGGGAGCCTGGAAAGATTCCTCCTCCAGTGGATATTCCTCTCCACTTCCCTCCCAGCCCAGGTTGTGTGTAACCTCTCTCTGCCTTGCTTTTCTTCCCTGGGTGCTGCAAGCAGTGCCCTCAGTTCTGCTGGGCTGTGCAGAGGAGCTGCTCACCAGCAGAGCTGCCTCTTTGAAGCACCTCTTGCTTGCCAGGAGCTCCCTGTGTGCCAGGAGCCCAGCCCAGCTCAGCAGCACAGCAACAGCCCCAGGCATTTAATGACCCTCAGGGAACATTGAGGTTGTTTACATGAGACTCAGTCCCTGAGAGGAAGTTCAAACAACTTTTCAAGAAGTCAAAATGAGATTGAAACGCTAAAGTTTCTTGTAGTGCAAATGAGTCTCACTGAGGGACACAACTGAGAACATGTCCCCAGGTTCCAGTTAGAGCAGAAAACTGAAGACAGTGATGACAAGGATGGACAAGCAAGGGAAAGGTGGTTCTGATGCTGAGGAAAACTGGACTTGTTTCCTTAATCCTAAAGGCCTGACCTTCAGCCCCTGGGAAGGGACATCCTTTCCCTGCCTCATTCCTCAGGGCTCTTCCTGGGGCACTGGGATGTGGGATGTGCAGTGCCAAGGGCAGGACCATGGGGTGGCACCTGCCAGGCTGCTGAGCAGGGACAAGGAGGCCATGAGGCCCCAGGGCTGCAAGGGCCACTCCCCTCCTCCTGGCATCAGGGGCACAGACAGCAGCCATGGCCAAAGGCCTGCAGAAGGTGGCTGTGTCAGGGCCTTTCAGCTTCTCCCCATCCCTGTCTCCTCTCCAGCCCAGGCTGTCCTACGGTGTCCATGCCCTGCCCCTTTCCCTGCAGGCTGTCGTCATCCCCCCGGCTGCCCCACCTGGCTGGCACCTTCCTGCACTGACATCTCTGCGTCCTCCCTGGCTCTTCCTGGGCACACAAAGCCTTGGGTTCATCCAGGCTCCTTCTTTGTGACATATTGCACCACAGCACTGACCTTGGAGGGGAATTTCTGACTTCTTGTCACCAGTCTAGGCCACCCCAGCTGCCTACTGTTAAATCAATCCCGGTCTGCTGACTTTGGCACATGGTCTCCTTTGCAGCTGAATTTGGGCAGAGGTGTCTCTTAATAATGGGAACCTGACAGTATCCATGAGGTTTTACAGTGTGGGAATGACCAACTTATTCCATGAGGTTCCACAGACTCACAGGGTCCATTTGGCTTCGTAAGGGTCTGTGGTGTGATAATGGACCCTTGATTCCATGGGTTTGCAAAAGGTCTCAGGACTCCTTTGGTTCTAGGAGGCCCCACATATCACAGTGGCCCTTTGGTTCCATGAGATTCCACAGTGTCCCAGGAATCCTTTGGTTCCATGAACCCTGCAGTGTCACAGTGGCCCGTTGGTTCCATGAGGTTCCACATTGTCACAATGGCCCCTTCATTCCATGAGGTTCCACAATGTCACAGGGATTCCTTTGCTTCCATGGGACCCTGCAGTGTGACAATGGCCCCTTGATTCCATGAGGTTCCACAGTGCCAATATGGGCCCTTGATTTCTTTAGGTCCACAGTATCCCAGGGTCCCTTTGTCTCCCTCACGCTCTGAAGTGTCACAGTGGCCCCTAATTCCATGAGGTTCTGAAAAGTCTCAGGGTTCCTTTTGTTCCATGAGGCTCTGCAGTGTCACAGTGGTATTTGAGTCCCCGAGGTTCCTCAGTGTCACAATGGCCCCTTGATTCTATGAGGTCCCAAAATGTCTCAGGGCTCCCTTGGTTCCATGAGGCCCTTCATGGCACAATAAACCCTTGGTTCCATGAGGTTCCACAGTGTCCCAGGGTTCCTTTGGCTCCAGAAGGCCCTACAGTATCACAATAGGCCCTTTACTCCTGGAGGTTCCACAGTGTCCTTGCTGGAACACACAGGGCTGTAATGTTGTCACCCCTGCAGAGCTGCCTCCAGCTCTGGGCTCCAGCACAGGAAGGACATGGACCTGTTGGAGCGAGTGCAGAGGAGACCACCAAAGGGATCAGAGGGATGGAGCAGCTCTGCTGTGAGGAAAGGCTGAGAGAATTGGGATTGTTGAGGCTGGAGAAGAGAAGGCTCAGGGGTGACCTACCTAATTGTGGCCTTACAGTGCCTGAAGGGAGCCAACAAGAAAGATGGAGAGAGACTTTGGACAAGGGTCTGGAGTGACAGGACAAGGGGCAGTGGCTTCACACTGAGAAAGGGAAGGGTTAGATGGGATATTAGGAAGAATTTCTGGACTGTGATGGTAGTGAGATCCTGGCACAGGTTGCTCAGAGAAGTTCTGGCTGCCCCATCCCTGGAAGTGTTCATGGCCAGGTTGGATGGGGCTCTGAGCTCTGAGTCTAGTGGAAGGTGTCCCTGCCCATGGCAGGGGGTTGGACTGAGATGCTCTTTAAGGTCCCTTCCCACCCAAACCATTCCATGATTCTGTGACTGGTGGGGGATGTGGTGGTCAGAGCCAACGGGCACAGAGACCCCAAAATGATGGAGTTTTCCATTCTGGGTGGAGGAAGGAGGGAGCAGCAGAACTGACACCCTGGACTGCTGGTGGTCAGACTTTGTGCTGTTTGGGAGACAGACTGATCTGGGTGTGATTGTGGATGTGCTGGAGGGCAGGAAGGCTCTGCAGAGGGATCTGGACAGGCTGGATCAAGAAGGCCAAGTGTCAGGGCCTGCCCTTGGCTCCCAAAAACCCCCTGGAACGCTCCAGGCTGGGGGCAGAGGGGCTGGAGAGCTGCTCAGCAGGAAGGGACTTGGGGGTGCTGCTTGACAGGGGCTGGATATGAGGCAGAGGGTGCCCAGGGGGGCAAGAAGGCCAAGGGCATGGTGGCCTTTGTGGAGAAGAGTGTGGCCAGCAGGAGCAGAGAACTGATTGCCCCTGTGTGCTGGGCACTGGGGAGGCCCCACCTGGAGTGCTGTGTCCAGTTGTGGCCCCTCAGTGCCAAAAGGCCCTTGAGGGGCTGGAGCGTGTCCAGAGAAGGGAACGGAGCTGGGGAAGGCTCTGGAAAACATGTCTGCTGAGGGACGGCTGAGGGAACTGGGCTTGTTGAGTCTGGACAAGGGGAGGCTCAGGGGGGACCTCACTTCTCTCTACAAGGCTATTTGTGAAGTGGCTTGTAATTTTTATAATCTGTGTATATAGATACATATGCCTTGTATTTGTGGAAAATAAATCCATTTCATTAAATGTCCCATTTCACCAGGGAGAACCTGCATTAAACTTTGATTGTATTTTGTACTTACTGAGTTTGTAGCATTAACGGTTGGGGATATTGTAGAACTCACATTTGACAACAGGAACAGCAGTAACAGGAGACTTCAGGTATTTGTAGAGGAGATTTTTGGGGCCTGTTTCTTGGTTTTGGGAACACAAAGGCTGATGCTTGGCAAAGATAGAATATTGTTATTGTAGTGTAGGTAACATTTTTATGAATTGAAAGACACCTGTGTTTTCAGCAAGTTTGTCAGTCAAGAACATTAGGACCGTAGGTGAGATCTGTCTGTACCTTGTTTTCAGACAAACCTGGTTTTGTTTTTCCTTTTTTTTTTCTTTAAAGGCTCTCACTGCATATTTTTCTTCCAAAGATTCAGATGACTGGTTGGGTAAAAGTCCTTCAGCAAAATTCTGTGCTGTTCGTGCCAGGTATGTTATACTGTGTTGTGGTTTTTTGTTTGGTTTTATGTCCCTTTTTTTTGTTTGTTTTTTAAATTATGTTGGAAATAATTTTCTTCAAAATAAGCATTAAACATTTAAGCTGAAGTGTTTTACCTTGTTGACTTTATTTTCTTTCAAGCTCAGTGCATTTGAAAACTGTTAGTAAGTACTGACTACAGCAATGTTTGTGTCTCCTGCACCTTTGAAGATTTCTATGGTCACTCACATACAACTTTAACAACCTGCAGTGACCGTGGTGACACGTAGTAAAGCCAGGCTGTGCACTGAGAATTGCCATCTCCTAAGGACATTGTCTAACCACACTTCAGAAGTGCTTTTCCTTAGTTCAAGGTATTCATTCATTAGCTAGGGACACTCATAAGCTTTTCCTTTCCAATCAATTGTTTGTACAATAAACTTAAAACTTCTCTTTTTGGTGTAAATTTGACTCTAAAGCCCAAAGCGTTACGAGGCATCTCGCTCTCCTCCTTGCAGTACAAACAAATCAGCTTTCTAATGTTTATAATTTGTTTTTACACTCTAAGATTCTGCATTTAGAACCAGAGGAACACGTTTCCTTTGAGTCAGGTTTTCCCCACTGTGTAATTCAAAGTTGGAGAGCTCGTTTGCCTCCCTGAACTGGTTCCTTTTTGCAGCTTCCCATGCTCAGGTACCTCAGTGCGTGCTCAGGACCTCAAAGCACGAGGTGTCTTCGTGAAGACACCTGTGTCAAGAATCTCAAAAACACTCTTGATAATTTGCTTTTTAAAATTACATATTTGATGGTGATAATTAAAGAATACAGTCGTGAACCCCTGCCTGAGTGCAGCTGTTTTTTTTGGCTTGGATGAAGCCTTCAGCCCGTTCATGTAAAAAATCGTGGGCCAATTTTGCAAAGCTTTATAAAAATGTCTCTCCGGGTTGTACTAAACCTTTACCTGCAGTGAGTCACTGCTGATGTGCAAGGCAGAATTCAGATAATATTTACAGAGAATGGACGTGTTCAAGATCATGGGTGTCCTGCAGCAAACAGGGCTGATGTGCAAATGTGTGACAGTGTGTTCTGGAACTGGGTTGTGTAACTGTCTGATGGGATCTGGGAGAACTGAGAGTTGGTGTTTAGAAATGATCTCAGACCTGAAGAACAACGGAGCACATCTGAAATCCCATGGGAATTTTCAGTGTAGAGGGTCAAAACCACAGATATTGCACAGTCTGTGACAATGAAGGCAAGACCAGTCTGAGGATAATGAGGGGACTGAGCCTGTGAGACCCGAGACTTGTGTTCCTAATGTTAAATCCTGAAATGTCTAAAGTTGCAACTTTTAATTGACCCGCTCTTCAAAAAATAGCAAAATTAAAGATTAAAATTAAACCCCGCAGTGTCAGGAGCAGATCTTGGCTGACCTGCATGTTCCATGCTAAATACAAAATTGAGCACTTCAGTCATAATGGTCTGCACCTTTCCTGGATTGCCCTGATGCTGTTTGTGCTGAACAGGTATTACAATAAAGGCAGTTTTACCTGTCCCTTGTTTACTTTTCTGAGCTCTTTGGAGCTGCCTTTTCTTGTAAGAGCAATATATGGTTATCTGTGTTTGTCTGGTGGTAATTTCTCAAGGGATTTGTGTACAGGACGGGGCCTGAATTTCTTGGGTGGTTTGCACAGGTTCTTTGATAACACATTCCCTGATGATACTTGAAAGTTTTTTATAAAATGTCTTTTGTAGCATATGCTGTCATCTGTAATGCTTGGTTGTTTTTTTTTCATTCAGGGATGGGACTTGTGTAATACTCACAGTCTAATGCTTGGTCCTTAGGATTTCTTTATTATTTTTAATTTTAATTCAAGTGTTTTAATATCCCATTTTCCCTGCAGATGTGTGGAGGAATTGATTTGGTCACTGTAAGCAAAATAGCTGCTCTTGGTTGAAGGGCTTGGTAAATTGTTCTTCCTTAAAACCATTTACTTTTTAGCTTTTTAAAAAAAGACCTTCACAAAGGTCTGGCTTTGCACAAAATGATATGTAATGCCAGGATGGTTTTCTGCTTGTTTGGTTTTATTTCTTTTTAAATTAAATTGTGAGCTGATAGACTTCAGATCATTCCTCATATAGTCAAAAAACCCACAACATTGGCAGGCTTGAGTAGAAAAAATAAAATTAATAATTAAAAAATTATTCATCTCTACTGGATGAATACGGGAACAGAATCTTTTCCAGTTTTCTTTAACTAAAAGGAATTTGGTCTTGACCTTTTGTTGTCCCTGCCACATTTTGTGACTTTGGAACAGTTATATCACTGAATTCAGTCCTGAAGCAAAAAAGTGGAATTCATGAATTGGAGGAATTCAGTTTTTAATGCGTGTCCATGAGCTTGGTTTTGATGCTTTTTGGCAAGTATTGAATCTCTTCTACTCCTGGGCTCTGTGAGTTTTATTACTTTGTTCCTTCAGAAGTCTTAAACTGTTTTTCCCACTGCAGGTCTGTGTAGAACAGCAGATTTCTTGCCAGGTTTCTCCTTCCAGCTCTTCCTCAAAACTCTTCCTGTGCCATCCACTGACGCCTTTCTAGCCCCCAGTCATCTGCTCGAATCTCTAAAACATGTGACTCATGTTCCATTTTTATATTCATCTTCACATGGCTCCTGAATCTTTCTGTGTGCATTTTTGTTGGTTTTCTCACTGGGTTGTAAATGAGCTGTTGTCACATCTGGTTTCTTGGGTAGGACTTTGGCCTTTCAGTTACACACCGAGTAATTCCTCCCTCCTTTTCTGGTTTGTAATCCTTACCTAAAGGGAGGGGCTGAATGTGAAAGCCTTAATTTACTTGGTGAAACAGTTGTCTACAAAAGAAGTTGCTTCAAACACCAATTGCAAAAGCATCCAAATGTGTGGATCCTGAAAGATCCAGTATTGCCCTCTCTGGTGAGCACAGATAATGTTTAGTTGAAGCACCGATTTTTATTTTCCATTTGTTTAAGAGAAGAGGGAAAATACTTGAAAACACTTTACTGAAGCTTTATTGAAGTTGACATACTTTGCTTAATGCAATACAGTTTATTATTTCAAACTAACACCCAAAAAAGAGTGCATCTGTGAATAAAGTCACATCTTACCGGGAATTCCTCTCTAAATGTGAGAAACCTGGCAAACAGCCTTAGCTAAAAATACCCAAACCTACATGAGTTGTGCTTTGACTGCTGTGCTTACAGAACATCTGATGGGGGTAAAATATAAATATGTAAAAAATGTTTAAATAAAATAAATGTTTAAATAAAATAAATATTTAAATAAAATGGTATCCAAAAAAAAATTCAAATTCCTGCGCCTTAAATACACTAAAAAAACATATAAATAAAGGTATAAAAAATGTTTAAATAAAATAAATGTTTAAATAAAATGGTACCCAAATATAAATTTGAATTCCTGCGCCTTAAATATAAATAAATGTAAATATAAAAAAAATGTTTGAATAAAATAAATGTTCAATTAAATGGTATTCAGCAAAAAACTGAAGAGAAAAACTTTGTAAATTTTGTTTCAGAATCGTTGCCTTGACCCTTTGGTCGAGGTTGGGAATGGTTTGTCTCCCTTGGCAGGGAGGGTCAGTGCTCTTTGTCATTCTGACAGGACCCTGATTTTATCGTGGCCAAAATACTGGGCTTGGAAACCAAACCAGGAGCTGGCAGGTAACAGCAGCTTGAAAAATGGGCTGATGCCTAATTGATGTGGCAGAAGGAATGAAAGACTCGTGACAGCTAAGAAAAAAATTGGGCTTTTCAGTGCCTACCTCAGGTTGGGATGACTGCCTGTGTCTTAGTGGAGGAAGATGTTTTTGTAACTTTATTGAAACTTGTTAGTAAAATGTGCCTGAATTCCTAAGGAAACAACCACTGTGAAATCTTTTAAACCAAATGGAGATTTCCAAAGTGTAGAAGTTGCTATTAATATTTTGGCCGTTCCTGTGGCATCTTTTTGGTGTATGAATAACTCTGAGAACAAGAAATTCTTAATTATAACACATTACCAGGTCTGTTTACTGCTAATTATTTTACAAGGTTGAGAGAAGAGTTTAAGATGAAAGTTGTGGGGTTACTTGCAAAGTTTTTGGGAAAAGCAATGCAGTTGAACCTGGTGGGGAAATTTGCCCTTAAAACTGGATTTGGCAGATCTCATGAGTGTCTAAGGCAGAGGCCAACCCAACTGGAAAGAGCCTTTCAAGGGTGACTAAGATGTAACTAAATTACCTTTTTGAGAGATGGGGAAAGCTGATGTCAGGAAGTAAATTTCCTTATGTTAAGCTTAGTAAAAATATAATAATATATAAATATTAAAATTATTTTAATGGTCTTATTTATGGGGTTTTCACTGTGCTTATGTTAGTACTTCTGAGTGTTTGATTGTGACAATAATGGACAGCTTTGTGTGTTTTTTTTTTTTTATTTTTCATGTTTTGATACTTTGGTCAAGGCATTAACATTAAAAATCATTCAAAATTTTAATTCATCTTCAAACACCAAAATAGATTTGAAATGAGGTCAATGAGAACAGTGGGGGAAAAAACCACCCGAACCCAAAATCAAAACAACCCCAAAACCTGTTCATTTTTCCATTGTATTTTAAACAGGGAAGTCTGTAGAGCAGCAGAAACAGGACACGTGGGCAGGTGTGAAAGTCAGACTGGGGCTTGTTGCACTGGTTCCAGTGCTCTTTGCTTCAGTGTAACTGGTCATTTTGAGATGAGACTGGGGAAACTGGGCTGCCAGGGCAGAGACCACTGGCTGGCCCCACTGGTTTTTGCTGGGCAGTGGGTAATTTGTGCCTCACTTGTCAGAATCAGCCCACGGTTATCAGGGAATGGGGTAATGGTGAATTTGGCTTTCAGACTAAAATGGGGTTAAACTTACACATAATAAAAAGAATAAATTGATGTTGGAGTGCAGATACTCAAAATCCTGAAGACCTTTTGAAACCTTTTCTGCGTGTCAGTTCTACGGTCGAAGCTCTTCCCGCAGTCGGGGCACTCACAGGGCTTCCCTTACTGGTGGGTCCGTTGGTGTGAGGTCAAATTAGACCTCTGGGTGAAGCTCTTCCCACACTCCCCACACTTGTAGGGCCTCTCCCCGCTGTGGATGCGCCGGTGGGTGATGAGGTTGGAGTTCTGGTTGAAGCCCTTCCCACAGTCAGTGCAGCGGAAGGGCCTCTCATCCGTGTGCGTCCGCTGGTGCAGGAGGAGATTGGAGCTGGTGTGAAACCTCTTCCCACATTCCAAGCACTTGTAGGGCCGTTCCCCAGTGTGGATGCGCTGGTGGCTGAGGAGGCTGGAGCTGTCCCTGAAGCTCCTCCCACATTCCCCACATCTGTAGGGCCGTTCCCCAGTGTGGATCTGCTGGTGCCGGATCAGGTTGGTGCTCCTGCTGAAGCTCTTCCCACATTCCAAGCACCTGAAGGGCTTCTCCCTGCTGGGAGATTGCTCAGGGACCACCAGGTCAGAGCTCCCCCTCAAGCTCCGGCCTTCCCGGCACAGGTTGGCTCTTTCCTCCTCAGAGCACCCTGGGATGGCTTTGGAGCCCCTCCTGCGGGGGGATCTCTGGCCCTTTTCCTCCCCGCTGCCTTCCTGCGCCGGGGAGCCCTTCAAAACGGCCTCTCCCACCAGGGTCTCACGGGGGGATTTGTCCTCCGGGCTCTCTGTCCTCACCTCGGGGCCTGGGGCAGGAAGCAAGAAGGACAGGCAGGGGATTTGCCTCCGGCCCACAGGGAAGGCCAAGGACATCCCCCCAACTCCGGCCCCGGCAGGACGGCGGCGCCAGCGGGGTTGTCCTGCAGCCGGGGCCATGCTCGGCTGACAGAGCCAGCACAACACCCGCCCAAAGGGACACTGACTTCCTCCTCACCTGCCTGGGGGGACCAAGGCATCTTCCTCTTCCTCGCAGCCTCCTCCTCCATCCGCCCAAGCTTTGGGAAGGACAAATCCTGATGGGGGGAAAACAAGGGCTGAGCGCGTTGGCTTGGGGGTTCCTCCTGCCCAAGTCCATCTCTAGAACTCACCGGGCATCCTGTGTCCATAAAAACCTCCAAAACACCAAGATTCAGACCAAGAAAAACCCAAAACACCCAGATTCACGCAAAAACCCCTCAGAAATAGCAAGAAGACCCTTAATTCCCCAAACTGTAAAAAGTTGAAATTCGGCTAAAAATACTCCAAAATATGAAGATTATCCCAAGAAATTTCTCCCAGAAGTTCCTCCTCTTTCATGTCTCCCCTCTGGGGTTCGGAGGGTCTCCCCTGTCTGGGATGCTGGGAGTGTTGGGGGTCCCAAGGGTCCCTTCTCCTCTGATTCTCGCCTTCAGGGAACCGCGTTCCCAGATATTCCCCCTCTCCAGGTTCTCCACTCTGTTGTCCTGGGGATCCCAGAGGTCCCCACTGTCCAGGCTTTCCTTTCTCTGCTTCCACCGTTTCAGTGGTGGAAGTGACCTGGGTCACTTCTCTCACCCATTTCCCATTGTGGCTGCTCCGCTGATCCGACAGCAGCAGGAAGGGGAGAGCAGGAACAGGAGCAGCAGGAAAACAAGTGCCTCCCCCCTCATCCTGTGGATGCCCAGGAAGAGGGAACTTGTCCCAAAGATCTGGGGGGAGCACAGGGGGTCAGGACATACTCAGGCTGCCAGCACAGATTTCCCTGCAAAGTCTGCAGTGAGTCAAGCTCTGCAGAGGAGATTGTGCCCCATGGATGGGATTGCAGAGGGGCCCTCAGGTCCCCAGCAGAAATCAACAACCAAGAACAGACACAAAAGGACTCCCCGAAAGATTTCGGGTGGAGTGTCCCATAGGCCTCACCCTCACCCCTGCCCGTGGCCCTGTCCCTTGGCTCTCTCTCTGCCAGCTCAGTGTGGGGCACACGGGCTGGGGGTCCCTCCCAAGCCCCCCGGGCAGCCGGCGTTGGCTGGGGGGATGTGAGGGCTGGGCCTGCTCAGCACAGCCCCGGCCTCGTGCCCAGCGCCTCTTTCCTGACCCACACAAGACCTTCCCGGCCCCCCCAGGGCTCCCCTGCTGCTGCCTCTGCTCCTGGCCCTGCCTTTGCTGCTCCCTTGGCTGGGGCAGCGGCTGCAGGGGGGGATGGCAGCAGCTTCAGCTCCACGGCACTTCCTGGGGGAGCTCAGCCCGGGGGGACGGGCAGGGACCTGATGGGGATGGACAGGGGCCCAGCAGGGACAGACAGGGCCTGCAGGGGAAGGCACAGGGACAACCTGGACCCCCACACTGCCAGGGCTGTCTCTGCTCCTCCTTGCAGGCTCCGTGGCCAGGCACAGTTTGTGTTCCTGGGTGCCCACCATCTCAGCACTTGGAGACGCTCAAATCAGCGCCCGCAGCTCTGCAGCAAAGCCCCAGCTCACCTGGCACACAGGGGATGGACACAGCACCTGTTCGGGGCTCTCACAGCTTCTTGTCTTCCCCACCACAGGGCTCTCCTTCCTCAGCAGCACCTCTACCTTGCACTTATTCTCAGCCTCACCTCAGGGACACCTCTGGGCTCACCTCCGCGCCACTTCTCAGCCTCACCTCAGGGCCTGGGCTCAAGGACAGGAACCTGCAGGGAGGGGACATCATGGGCAAGCTCAGGGCTGCCTGCTTGCAC